TGAAGGTTCAGTAGGAGATTCCTCGCTCAAGATAGGAGACATTTAGAGAACACTTTGCATTTTTTCAATAAGAAGGCTTTTTGTAGTGTACTGTTTCTTGCCCTTGTTTATAATAATGACTTGCTGATATTTGGTCCTGCCTGTCAAGGATCTATTCCGTGGCTACTTGGATGGCTAGCATAGGTCGATTCAACTTTATCAATGCTTCTAAGGTATTTAGATTCACAACTAAGGTGGGCCAATTATAGTCGAACTCCAGGACTCCTCTTGTATTTATTTTTTCACTAAATGTTTTTTTGATTATTGACATAAAAAAGAAAATATTAACTATTGCAGTTACATATGATGAGTGAAAACATTTACAGTATACAGAAGTATAAGGTAATCTATATGAATATGGAAAATTCAAACAATAACTGTGCATGTCTAATGGAGAATTAAACAATCAAAATCTTAAATGGTTATTAATATGAATCGCATGGGTATATAATGAATGATGACAAAGATATTATTACCAGTGGTAATATAGAGGAATTTTTAAGCTTATATAACTGTCATTCTACCATTGTGGTGTAGATATGAAGGCTGAGGATAAGTGAAAGGGAAAAGAAAAAAGAAGGAAAGGGCCAGCGAGGAAGTCAGGAACGAGGTACCAAGAGAGTTGTATCTTATCCTTCATATCTATCTAGAGGGCTGCTGGGGATGTATATATTCATTGTTGTAGTCTGTGTGACATACAGTCTTTCAGGTGCAGCTTCCCCTCAGTGAACTGAATAAAGGGGATTGCTCACTTGTCACCTCCACAGTTCAGAGATTGTCTTATATTTTTGCAATGAATAGAAGGTGTTCAGCTTTCAGTGATCTGATGTAATTCCATAGTTGGAATAAAAAAAGCCAGTTGCATCTTTTTGGTACATTATGGAATTTTAAATACATTATTTTTGTTCTTCCTGAATTCCAGGTGAAGGAGTGCCCACAGCTGGATTTCTCCAAAAATGTTGGAGTCCTATGTGACTCCGATTTTAATGAGCTATGTGAACCGCTACATAAAGAATTTGAAGCCTTCTGATTTACAGCTATCCCTCTGGGGTGGAGATGTTGTCCTTAGCAAGCTGGAACTGAAACTGGATGTTCTGGAACAGGTATGTTACTTTTAAGGAATTAAATCCGCTTCACTGGAGTCAGCAATTATTTTATTAACTTTTACCCCATTTTCATTGCTCATGTCTAGGTTAGCATAAACTATAAACCAAAATGATGTTCTGTGTATAAATTCCTGTTCTGTATGTGTATACACAGTCGGCTATGCAGTTCCTTGTGAGTGTAAAAACACCTACTATACAAATGTAAAAAAAATATATATAGGTTTAGCGCAATGCTGATTTCAAATGAAATGAGCCATGAAAGAATTTATTTTGGATACACATATGTGATATGTGTAAAGATAGTGTTGATATGTAACCATTTACAATAAATAAAAACACAATGTATCTGCAAAAATAAACTTGTATCCAAATAAAGTCTGCTAATCATTTGTGTCAAAATAAAGTCTCTTGGAACAAGTCTGCAAAACTTTTGTGTCTTTTCAACACTTTGTGTCTTCTCCACACCACTGTGTTAGTACTGCAAAGGAGACTGTGCCCAACGCCTGCTCTCGGTTCAAACTCACTAGTGGACCTGTTTCAGGGGGTGCATGAGGATCAGATAAAAAAATGACACATTCACTTTACTACCCTCCCCATTTTCCTAATCAATGGTTTTTCCATTTAAAAGAAATTACAGAAAACAAACCCTGCCACTGCTTATAGCTCCAACCTCTAAGTGTCTCTTGATTCGTTGTTGGACCATGATTACCATTTAAATTTGTGTCATGGTTTTCCACTCCATAAAAGCAATTGTTAATTCTCATGTAGTAGTAGAAGTGATGGTTAAATTTTAGTAAAATAAAGTACATATATTCAATGCATGGAAAGTTGTGTTTATATGAATATTTCTTTGGAGGGGATCCATAGATTTCATCAGATTCTCAAAGGGATCCATGACTCAAAAAAAGCATAAGAACCACTGCACTAGACTGCAATACTGTTATGCAATATACAAGAATATAGCTCCACATGGTGTTATAACATAAAGATTAGTTAATTAAGGGCTGGTTAACACTGGAATGTGTGTTCCTATACGGTTCCTTGCATTTCTGGTTTTGACAGTCCATTCATCTGAATAGACTCCCAAACACACAAGATCTTGCAAAATTTAGTTCAAGCACTACTTTTGCAAATCGTACTTCACCAACCCACTAAAGCTTGGTTATCAGATTCAGCTGGCTGCATTGCACTCTGTAACAGCTGTGAAGCTTGTCAAACATCAAATCGGTGCTGACCTGGATATCACAATCACCGCCTCTCCACACCAACCTTCAATGAATCTACAAGTGTGTGCTTAGACTGCTACTGCTGATACATTTGGTAACAAGGGATCCCTGAAAAAGTCCCAAGTGATGAAATGTATTGGAAGGATGCTTTTTGATTTGAATTTGCAGTAAGGTTATATTCAGTCTGGTGAATTTGAATCAAGCAAACATATTGGGCACAGTTTTAATTTGTAGTACTAACATGTTTACTTAACAAAAACCTTTTATAAATAAAATCTGATTTAAAAAAAGTAGAATTAAACCAGCAGATATTTAGTTTAACATGTTGAGCATAATAAAATAAACATCTCCCTGTAAACTATTTGTTAAGATTCTTACCCCAGCACTTGTAGTTTACAACTTTAGGGGAATGGCAATTGTACTAGGAATGTACTAAATGTTTTTAAGAGAAATAAGGTTGTATAATATGTTTGTTTGAAAATCAATAAATTTTTAAATTAAAAAAAAGAAAAAAAAATTCAGTTCTGCAGACTACTGTATCAGTGCTGTTTCCCTGAACTTTCATTCTGCATAGGAAAGAGTTGCCAGTGGACAGTGTAGTCAGGAGCCAGTCTGTTAGCTGGGAGAAGTGGGGGGATGCCTTTACACTCTTGGCTATGGGGCTTTGTGTTTCCATTAATGTTCACAGTGTAGGGAGATCACTCTAGCCTCTGAATGCAAGGGTGCTGCAAGATAAAGGAGCCACCTTCAAGTGGTAGTAGTCATACCACCAGTTTAACCACTTGCCCTCCAGAGCATTTACCCCCCCCCCTTCCTGACCAGGCCATGTTTTGCGATACGGCTCTGCTTTACTTTAACTGACAAATGTGTGGTCATGCAACGATGCACCCAAATGAAATATATGTCTCCTTCCCAGTGGGCTGAATGAAAAAAAAACCTGACAGCTCAGGAGGAGCCGCTGTACTAACTATCTGATATTTAGTACAGCTATCTCCCCTGCTCTGCTAGTGTGTTCTGACTGGAGGGATGCCCCCCCGCTAGAATACTCCTGTCAGGACTCTTGGCCATTGGCTGAGAGAGCTGATCAGGGGCCGATTTGTAGACCTTTTTCGGTCATGTCCCTTCGACAGAAGCCGGCTGCCGTACGTATAGGCTGAATGTTGGCCAGTTTCTATTGAACCGGCCGAAGCCACCGGACATTGGGCCTGTGTGTACTAGCCATAAAGGACACAGGCAGCGCAACATAATTTGACAACGTGTTAACTTTTCCCTCTTCTTTCCAAAACTTAAAAAAAAAAATGGCTGTACATTTATATGTACAATATGTTACATAAATGTATATGTAAACCCAAACACTAAAATCTTATGTAAAATTTAACATAATTTCAAAAGTAATTTTCAGTATTTTTTATTACGAAGCTTTCATTGCAATTATCCCTGTGTATCCTGCCCTGAAGGTCAATGTTCATGCAATTCTTATGAGGTGTTGATCTTTTGTTCTTTTGCATTGTTGCATACTCTTTTAATGGAGACAACAAAAAAGATGCATATTGCATAGGCATATTTCACTGCTGTCACTCTCAGGAAACTAGCCCTGAAAAATGCCATGCAGCTGCTTGGTTGTGGTACATGCATGGAGACAGAAAGTGGCTTTTAAGAGCCTACAGCAGATTAGCTGCACTGAGAAACAAATGTTAAAGTCTTTTATTAAAAATAAAAGCAGCAGTTGTTTCTGATACATAGTTCCTTAGCAAACCAAATGTAATTCAGTTAGGGTTTACATGTACTGTATAAAATTTTTTATTGGTGCCTTAACTTCAGCAATTTTGTTACCTTAAAACAGTATAAAATCTCCTGGTCTTTTTTAAGATAAGTTGGACTTTTTTTTTTGGTGATAAATGTCAATGGACATCTCTTGATTCTTTCTTTTAATATGAAACAAAACTTAAAAAAAAAAATAGTAACTTTTTTTTTAATTCTTTAAGTTTGTACAATATAACCATAAGGTCTGAACAGAGCTAGTGATGAAATTGTGGTCTCAATATACAGTATATGCTTACAATGAAAAGTACTGACAGCATTTTCTTGTATATAAAGAAAAAAACACAACGAGTTCAAACTAAGAGGACTTCAAGAATGGTGGTTGGATGTTGTACAAACCACATTTTTTTTTTTTCAGGGAGAAGTGTTTTATTTATTTATTTTTTGTAATTTAGCTGTATCTGCCATTACCGTGACCCATCACCAAAAACAGTCCAAAATAAATTCTCCTACTCCTGACACTCATGACAATACCACATATTAGTATGTTATTTGTTGCTTGTAACGATAGGGTGCAGAAACAATAGTACACATCGGTTGGCCGAACAGTGCCTGCATCCAATCAGTTACAGTAGCTCTTTGAGTATTCAGATAGCTGATGCCGTTGACTGTCAGAATACAATATGCCGTATAGGGCTATTCATCCATTCATGCTGGTAATTTTGATTTTGACATTTAAGGGCTCATTCCCTCTAGAAAAAACACAGATCTTTGCAAGGGCACACAAAAACTGTCATGTTTTATGAGCCCAAATTAGCTATGATATTCTGTCTAGTCTGTGTTTATATATGTATATAGACAGTGTCAGGGGCGGACTGACAACTCATGGGGCCCCTGTGTCCTTGCCCAAACTCAAAAAAAGCCTATGAAAAAGCTACCAGGGTCATCTCATGGGGCCCCCTACTGACCCCGGGCCCTCGAGCAGTGCCCGAATTTCCAAATGGTCAGTCCGCCCCTGGACAGTGTAACAATTCGGGGGTTAACGCATATGTAGTGCTCACCATCAGTTTATTCTATTCCAGATATGCCTTTTAAGGGCTTGTTAGCCCACTTTTATTTAAGAAAGAAGGAAAAAGTTCACAGTAATCAGTATCCCTCACAGGGGTTTCCGCCATCAACACAAACTACAGTAACGTTCAGCCTCCTGGCTCTCTTTGACAGCATTGTTGCTCAGGTCTTTGCCTTGTGCACAAAACGCTGTACGTCCATCAGCTCTCATTTACTTTCAGCTCCCTGCTGCTCTGGCCCACCGGCTTGGGCCTCTGTCTGTCCCCCAGACTGTACCATGCAGACACACACACCCTCTGGCTGTTCCCTTGTAGCTCCCTGAGAGGGGTAGAGGCCAGAACCCTGGTTCCATTTACCCTAGGAACCTGCACACACCGGCTTCATCAGTGTTGCGTTGTCTGCAAATGGCCATCAGCTATGAACTTCTAGTCCTCAGAAGAAATGTAATGTTTCAGGCTGCGCTTCACATGGATTTGTTCCAAATCAGCACTAGCTCTTAATGACAGTGAACAGATTGTCCAGGAATTGAGAACAGAAATCTTTGGAGCCTGAATACAGCGCTGCAAGGACTGGAAGTAGTCTGAGGTAGTATGAGATTTGTATTTTTTTTTTTTAGAGAGGAGGAGGAAAACTGGACTTTTAAACATTTAAGATAAGGTAGTAGACATAACATTTTTAATAAGGATTATACTGTGAGGCAGCCAAAGTAAATTCCCAAAGTGAAATCTGCATAGTTCTTATTCTTTAATGGAATGACTCAAAATGTTAATCTATTCTTGCTTGTTCTTGTCAGTTATGAAAAGCATTTTTAAAAAAAAAACTTTGCTCCCTGGCAGTTAATAAATAATGAATGTGGGTTTTAGTTAGTTGGTTGTTTCAGAACTACAGAAAAATGTAAAAATTCCTTTTCCCAAATTGGTATTTATTTCAGGTACTTATATAGCTCCATCAATTTATGCAGAGCTTTACATACATATTGTACATTCACATCAGTCCTTAACCCTTAAGGGGCGTACAATCTAAGGTCCCTAACTCACATTCATACATATACATACTAGGGCCAATTTAGACAAGAGCCAATTCACCTAGCAGCATGTCTTTGGAGTACCCGGAAGAAACCCACGCAGGCACAGGGAGAACATTCGAACCAATGACCTTAGTACTGCCAGGCGGAAGTGCTAACCATTTAGCCACTGTGGTATATTCGTTTATCTAATGTTGTCCTTAAAAATAATTAACCTAAGGACAAAAATGCAATATATTGCAGTTTGTAGTGCATGTGGTGGCTACATTATTTCCAAAATAAAAAGAATGTTTACTGCAAATACAGAAAATACCTGTTGATCTTGCCAGGTGTGCAGTGGTCTTGTCACTTCCTGTAAGCGTTACAATCAAATCTCTTCCATTCTAGCTATCTTTTGCATATGTCCTCTCTCCACCCCCGCCCCCCACCATAAAAAGGAAGTGAAGAATTACAGACATAAATATATATTTGTACCCCAAACACATTTTTATTGTTCAATTCCAAGAGACTATTATGGTACCCAGGAGACATTCTTGTTTTGGGAGCAAGATTGTAGGAGGGATTATGGTACCCTTTCCTACTTATTTACCCTTGCCATAGCAATAGTTGATTCATAAAGGTGAACATATTTGTAGTCAATATTGGGAGAACAGCCTAGGGTGACAACTATAGATCCCTCCATAGATACAGTGGAGGAATGATATAGCCATCCAGGGACAGGAAGTATGTTATATGTTGGACAGATGTTACATTTTTACACTTGAGCCTTTTGTTTGAAAGGCCTGCAGTTGCGCATAACTCAAGTTCTAAGAAAGATCAGTTTTTGGAGGACATCAACAACCTGCTTCTTCATTCCTGGAAACTCTTATTTACTGTGTAAGATCTTCTCTAGTCTTTTTTTTCATTCTGCTGCTAAACCTTAGTTTCCAGTGGTGTGGTGTTTGTTTTTTGTGTTTTTTTTTTGTGTAGACTACAGGGAGAAGTGACAATTTCCTTGCAAAAGTGCCATAATCACCCTAGCAGGGTTGCTCCACTGCTCTTTCATATGTTGAAGTCAGTGACATTACTCAGCACTTTCACATAAAAGGGAGCATGTGACCTCCTCCCATGACTACAAACTAAATTATTAAGATCAGTCAAGGGACTACTATACAAAATGGCCATGACCATGCTGAGATTACCATTATGTTATGAATTTGGATATCCGCATTCAGTGGTATAGTGTTGTTTTGCTTTTTTTGCAGCACATGAAATTGTTTTGATATAGAATCAGATTCCTTTGTATATAATTATGTAATGTGTTTTATCAGGAACTGAAGCTTCCGTTCACATTTCTTAGTGGACATATACATGAGTTACGGATACATGTACCATGGACGAAACTTGGGTCAGAATCGGTGGTGATAACAATCAACACTATGGAGTGCATCTTGAAATTAAAGGATGGGGCCCAGGTAAGATGCATAGTTTTATAGCTAAGTTAGGTGAACAGATAATTAAAGAAATGCATACTATTCTCTGCAGCTTGAAGTCCCGAAATAATCGTTTTTGCCGATCAACTCTAACTGTCTAGCTAGCTGTCGTAGAAATTTCCAGGAGACTGGAAATAAATTCTGAGCTTAATAGGCGGTGAAGCCGGCAATCTGCATTTCTTTGTATGACAGTATTCTGAAAAAGGTTAAAGTGATATTATCCCTAAAATTGTTTTTTACCTTAATGCATTGATTGCATTAAGGTAAAAAAGGTTTCTATTTGTCTGCGCTTCCCCTTCCCTTTATGATGGGGAAGAGAGGGAGAAGAGATCAGCACTGGGCATGGCTGCATCTCTTTTCCCTTCTCTTCCTCTTCAAACAGAGACTTGAAGAGCAGCAAGAGCCACAGGAAGTGGGGGGTGGGGCTAAGTCCTGCCTTGTATGTCTATGGAGCACTGCTCTGTTAGACACAGGGCGGGAGCCTGCAGGCAGCGTGTGCCCCCATAGCAAACACCATGCTATGGGGGACACACGAAGAGGAGGAGCCAAGATCGCCGGCAGAGGACCCGAGAAGAGGAGGATCGGGGCCGGTCTCTGCAATACCACTGCTTACAGCAGGTGAGTATAACATATTTGTTATTTTAATTGAAAAAATTTCAGACTTTAGTAACACTTTAAGACATGCTTTCTCACTGCTCTTATCTTTGCGAGACTGGGAACTAGAAGCATGCGTGGATGCTTTGCATTCATTCAGATAATGCAAACCATTCTCTGACATCCTTGCCCAAGCGACTGACCCCCTGTGTTCAGAACTTTGCAAGGTAGCCAATCGACACTGGATCCAGAAACAAGTGGAGATCACTGGAGTAGTGGAGTCTATTTCATTCATTTCTAGCTTCCAGGGGGATTAGGCAGGTATGGTATATGCATAGTTATATTGGTCTGGCTAGGACCCATACAATTCTGGAATTCTTATCTATAATCCTTTCAATTTTTAGTGCTGCTGCTCTTGTGCACAGCGCTGGATCGAAATTGGGCTCATAAATATTTAGGGAGGGCTGGAGAGGCGCTAGCAATAGAAAGTTTTTTAGCTAAATGTAGAGAAAGCATTAAGGTAAAAAAAAACCTTTTAGCTTTTACAACAAATTTAAGACTTTTTTTTTTTTTTTTTTATACTTGTGGCCCACTTAAAATGCCTAAGGGTTGAACAGTGGCTAAGTGGTTAGCACTTCTGCCTAGCAGCACTAGGGTCGTCTGTTCAAATTCCAACCATAACACTACTGCCTGAAGTTTGCATGATCTCCCTGTGCCTGCATGGGTTTTCTCCTACATTTCAAAGACATGCTGACAGGTTAATTGTCCTTTTTAAAGTGGCTCTAGTATTTGTAATGTGAGTTAGGGACCTTACATTGTAAACTCCTTGAGAGAAGGGACTGATGTGAATATACAATATATATGTAAAGCACTACATAAATCGACTGCGCTTTATAAGTACCTGTAATAAATAATATCTGCTGCTTGTATTGCTAACAACTTTGCTGTATTGTCATGTTTCAGGGCAGGTTTCCAGCAGATATAATCCTCGGTTGTTCAAGTATACCTTCAGGCTGTTAAAGGAATATTATGAAATATTAAAATGGAAATTCACTGAAAAAGTGAAGTACTGTTGGTTCATTCACTCCCCCAAGCCTGTAACTGTGTCACTGTTTTTTTGTGAGGTGGGGAGCAAGTACTGTTTCCATGATCATTTCCTAGGCGAAGATTACACCGCTTGCCCTGCCCCCCCCCCCCCCCCCCCCGCAGCATCATGGGACCCGTCGAATGTCCCAGGAGACTGCAGGATAATTCACAGAGCTCTTGAGCAGTGGAGACTAGCTGTTGCTCCTCAGGATGCCTTAGCCGGCTCCCTATCTAAGATGACAGCACTTGGGACACATAGTAGCAAGAAGAACAGACTATGGGAAAACAGTGCTGGACTCCAGACACTGGTGAATACCTGATTTTAGAATTCAGCCACTACAGCATTTGTGACTGCTGACTTAAAAAAAAAAAAAAAAAAAAACAACAACCTGAAGTTCCTCTTTTAACTTCTGACCAAGTTGAGGTTGTGTTCTGCTTCTTGACATTTACCTGTTGAATGACATTTACCTGTTGAAAGAAATTTAGTGGGTGGTAGAGGCTCTGGCACTTGACAGTTACATGACAGGGCTTTATGCCAGGACAAGGTGTAATTCAATCTGGATTCAAGTAGCAGTTACAGCTGCTTTTTCAATGTGGGCCTAAGACAGGGGTGGGCAAACTTTTTGACTTGAGGGCCGCAATGGGTTCATATATTGGACCCGGGGGCCGGACCAACAGTAGATGAATGATGTGTATGTGTCATCCATAGTAAGTATAGTAATATTCCCCCATAGTAAGCATAGTAATTCATCCCCCATATAGTAATTCATCCCCCATATAGTAATTCA